TCAGATGATTATCTAAAGATTGTTTCTCCATTCATGGGTCTTGACTGAAGAAAGTGGAAAACCATATGGTGGTGTATCCAGGAAAACGAGTCTAAACAGAAGAAATGGGCAGCTGTGTGTAGTGACTCACGCTGTGGAAAAACATCACTCCAAACCCTTCTGTCGTCACCAACTCTCATAACACGACTGCAGCGGCTTTTACTCACAGTCTTTACCAGCCTTTCCCTGTTTCTTACTTATTTCATTATTAGGTTCACAAGTTTGATTTGACCCACGTTAGGACTGTTCCTCTGCCAGTGGAAGTGAAGCCACTGTGCAAACATCAGATTCAGAAGTCGTTTCGAGCGTTGAAAATATGATTTTTTTTTTGTTTTATTTTCTTCTATCTTTATTTGCATTTAAACTGCTCATGGTTTCAACAAAAACGTATAACATAGTATAATGCTGGTTATTTAAAAAAAAAAAAATTGGGGACCGAATGAAAACTGTGACCTCCCCAAACATTATCGACAGAATGTATGACGTGGTAAAAAAAAAAAAGAAAAAATCCTGCCGTAGACAGTGTTGGTGTTTCGCTGACTATTGAGATTAGAAATAAAAACAGCATGGCAGAACCGGTGGCTGACAGCAGCACTGCAGCCACCACTCTGCACAGGACGTGTTAGTGTTCTGTAACCTTGGCCTAGTTTCCAGGTAGACTCATGCTCAGCTGCTGCAAATCACGGTTTGTCACAGTAATAGAGGCCCCGTTTATAGAGAGTGAACTGAGAACGAGGTGTCGGTGTGGAAAGAAAATGGAAAGAAAGACGGAGATAAGAGGAGGAAGGAGGTGCAACATCTTTAGGGAACTGGATGATGTGTTGAGACTTGTTCCACACTGACACACACACACACACAAACACAGAGGCACACTCAGGCAGCACGACAAATATCACACTTTGCTAAAAGTGTGTCTCCACTGATTCCACCAACAGACATGGTTTGGCCGTTAGATGAGATCTTTTATTTGATTGTAATGAACAAGCTGCTGAATTTTTTAAATCGAGGCTAACTGCACACACATCTATCCTCGACACACATTGTTTAAGTATGAGGTAGAACATTTTCATGAATTCCTAATCCACATAACATCCTCTGTGCCCCAGTTAAAGGTAATAGATTATCCTGTAACTCCCTGCCCCCCCACCCCCAAAGCCACAGAATACACACTACTTAAAGCCACCCTTCCCTAATGGACACCAGGTCAGTAAATCACATTAACACACACCCATCTAGTGGCTCTTTTTAATTAATTTCCATCTAAATTACCATCAGTGAATACGATGGAAAAACAGGATTTTTTTTTTTTAGAAATACTTAATAAACTTAATAAAGCTAAACACATAAAGGCAATAAACCGACATACAGTTTACTGTGTTTGAACTTTGAAGGCAATAAACCGACATACAGTTTACTATGAAATTAAAAGCCTGCTAACATTCTTTAGTGACTAATCCAAATAACGGGTTTATTAATATGGATTGCAAAAATGTCAAGAAAAATATTCAAAATTTAGCATCAGTATAAAGAGTACTTCATTCTGCATATGCATCAAAAATGCCTTGACATATTTAAGATTCATTTCTCAAATTGACTCAGATGTTAATTTAATATATGTAACATATAGTTAATATACGTGTTAATATACGTGTTCTCCCCGTGTCTGTATTTTAACCTCTTTAAGGAATGGTCGTCGAGAGATTTGCTGCATTTACAAGGATGTAAACTCATGGATTTATACAGACATTTGACAAAGGCTTGATTAACTTGGCTGTAAATCAGTGGAGTGGGTTTTTACAGATTAGACTGAGTCCGTCTGCAGGGTAGAGAGACATTTAATTAAACCTCTGGCACAGTGATTGTTGACATCATTACCCTCGTAATGTTCAGTCTGCGTTCAAGTCCCACCGAGTTGGAGAAATGAATGCAATTTGCTAAAAAGGACCCGTTAACGTTTCTCCTCTGTTCATGCATAGTAGATGCAGGGCAGAGGTGGAGGAGGGAGGAGTTGCTTGCTCCCCCCTCAGGTCAACCCCCCCACCCTCCACCAACACACACACACACACACTTGTAGTAATCACCAATCACACCACAGGTTTTCAGAAATCTACAAACAACCAGTTGTGGCAGAGCTGCTGCAGACCAAGCCCACGAGGTAGAAATTCCACCCAGAGTGGAGAGACAGGCAGGCTGGTGGTGAAGCGGTGGGTTGTTAATGGAACTGTGTCAGAGCGTGCGACTGCTGACTGGATATTTTAAGCAATAACACTCACACCTGGCGGTTTCATCAGAAGTTAGATGCTCAGAAGCGAGGGGGGAGAAATCCGACTGGATCATTTCTACAGATCTGAGCTGAACAGCCGACAGGAGGTCGGTGATTCGGTTTCTTTGGGGTTATTTTGCCAAGGAGTGCAGCACAAGATGAGCAGATTCAAAGGTAACCAGCACTTAGGGATTTGACTTGTTCTTTGTTAGAAATTTGTTGTGCAGAAACATTGTGACTGTAAGACGGGTTAGAAATTTAGAAAAAGCAGGTTATAATAATTTTACTGACGTTGTGAGGTGTGTGAGGTTGCCTTTGTCACTTCAGCAGACACTTTTTAGACACTTTGACTGCTCTTCCCATTGGCATAAGAGATAAAGATAGGAAACGGGGGGTGAAATGCTGCAGAACCACTCAGGAGGGGGAGGATTACTGGTAGTCATTTTAGCATTAATTGCCTCCTTCCCTCCTGGTGGGCTTTCAGGTTGCAGTTTTGGGGCTTAAAAGTGTGGAGGGGCGGGGGGGGGGGGGGTATGCAAGCTTTTTTTGTGGCAGAGCAAAATGTTGCTGATGGGGTAAATCAGATATTGTGAGCCATGCAGCACTGCCTTTGTCTGGAGAGCATGGGCTGGGGTCGGGGAGGCAGCCCCCTTCCTCAAGGTCGCTTCCTGCACCACTGCATGTGTGTAGGTGTGTGCACGTGTGCATTTGTTAGTGCCAGCACGCTCAGTGCAGTCCTGCCTGCTGGTGTGAATGGGCTAGTGTGTCAGAAGCAGATTCTTCAGTACTGTCCAAAAGCTGCATTTAATAGAGCATGTCTTAAATCAGAATAAATGTTCTTTTTCTTTTAAAGATGAGCAGCAATGGTCAAAAACAAAATTACATTTACACAGGTCTGTCCTTAAACAGAAATGCAATGACCTGATTTTGATGTTGTAATTTAAAAAAGAAATACATTTCTGATCTTTTTCATCAGATTGATGATCTTTAGACAAAAAAGAAAAAAACTTTTTTTTTTTCAAAACCAAACCTGGTCAATGCTTTCAGTATTTCTCTTTAACTACTACAAATATAAAAGGCAAAGACAAGGGAAACGCTGTGCTATAGAATATTCTGGTTGTCCCAAAAATATGTGTTGTGTTGATAATATTCAAACCTAAAAAGTCTGTTATGTTGTCCCAAAAATATGTGTTGTGTTGACATAAAATATTCAAACCTAAAAAAGTCTGTTAATATTATTCAATAGAAAAGAATATTGAGCAGTGCTGTTGAATTATTCACCTAGCTGGGAAGCTACAAGGAGTCCTAATAACTTATAGGGGTGAACGGAGACACCTGCTGGAGAATGAGTCGAAATGCACTTCTTAGACACGGCGTGTTCATGTTGATATTTCTTATTTATTTACTGGAGGTTCTAAATGGTGTCGTTTGTCCTTCAGAACAACTACCTGGTGTTTATGGCAGAGCTGTTTTTGTGGTTCGAGGTCATCAAGCCATCGTTTGTTAAACCAAGAGTAAAGGACATCCAAGTCACAGGCAAGTCTTACATTCTCTCACCCTTAGATACCGTTCATAATTGCTGCAGCAGTGTTGTGGTAGTAATCAGTGCTACAAACAAAATTGTATGTAAAAAGCAGAGTAATGACTCTGACTATTTGTTTGTGCTGCATCACCTCAGAGACCCCCACTTTAGTCAAGAGTATGCCAGACATCCCCATCTCTAAGGCAACCAAGAGAAGCTTCATGGAAAGACCACCCAGTCCAGACAGACCCAGGTATGTTTTTGTCTTCAGCTGAAAGTCATTCAGTCAATGTGGTCAGTTGATGATTTTACCAAGTTTTCACTCACTGAAATCTCATTTCCTCTCCTTTCCAGTTTGCCGCTACGGCCTCAGCCAAAAAATTCTGGTAATTTTTTAAAAATATTTTAAATGTTTTCTGAACCACAGTTGTACAACTTAATGTATGATTTTTTTTTCCATTATTATTCTATAGGAGAAATCAGAAGGTCAACCTCAATGTCCTTTGTTGATGCTAACCTCGGCACCTGGCCTAAAGAGAAAAGGTCAGTAAAAATACAGTCTGTTTTCTATGGCTTTCTTTGTCCATCAAACTAAAACTTTACAAATCATCTATAAAATGCCTTTTGTTTTTCTGTTCAGGTCTGGGCCTTATGGCGTGTCCTTCGACATCCCCTTTGACAAAGAGGACTCTGCTCCAGTTCCTCTCATGTCCACTCGTGGTATGGTTAGATCCATCAGCACCGACGATGGTTCTGGTTTCAAAGTTCACCACATGCCTCGTGGAATGAAGCGTAACTTGTCCTTCCAGCCAGTGAATGGTCAGAGTGTCGGCATTGATGAGGAGGGCTGTCCAGACAGCATGGCTGGTATGGAACCTGGCAGAAGAGCGTTCTCCAACGGACACGAGACTACGTTGGCAAGAGCTCCCTCCATGGAGGAGGCTCTGGAGATAATCCACAGTCCAAGCAGACCTGCAGTGGAGGGGCTCAACAGTGGCTTCTTTCTGCACAGTCAAGCCCAAGGAGGTGGAGCAGGCTTAGAATCCGTGTCAGAGGTGGACACCAAAGGACTTGTGAGCACCACAGACTCCACAGGAGTGGACACGGGTATCCACATCAGAACAGAAGACATGCTGGATGAAGATTCGTCTCTGAAAGACTGCTCTTTGAACATGGAACTGGATATGGACACACCCAGCCCTTGCCCTAGCAACCAGAGCAAATCCCCCTCAGGTGTAAAGTTTACCTGCTTCGCTGATCAAAAACTAAAGAAAATCCACCCAGCTGCACCAGACTCAGGCCGGGGAAGCAGCACTTCTCTCAAAACCCCTCCTGAGGGCTCGGAGTTCGCTCTCCCGTTATCTGTATCCTGGGCTCCAACTCCTGAGCACAGCCCTGTCCACCAACACTCCACCCCACCCATCACTGCTCAGGCGTCACCCACACCTGTACAGCTTCCACCCAGTGATCCTGCTCAAGTCATGGCTACAGAGATGGTGCAGCTGAGGATCAGGCTGGAGGAGAAACGGAAGGCCATCGAAGCACAGAAGAAGAAAGTGGAGGCTGCTTTCACGAAACATCGACAAAAGATGGGTCACTCCGCGTTCCTCAGTGTGGTAAAAAGAAAGGGAGATGGTGCCGCCAGTGAGGAAGTGAAAACAGACGGAGAGGGAAAGGCTAGTCCTGTCCTCAAGTTCGGAAGGAGCAAAGCGGATACACCGGACGGGGCGGAGCAGAGTAGCACACCCTCCTGTTGGACCAAGTCTCCTGGAGCAGGAGAGGAGGGCGGACAGGGTCCTGCACAGCTAACTGAGGTGGACCTCACAGAATACACACGTTCTATAGAGAAACTCAACCACTCGTTGGCCTTCCTCCAGACTGAGATGCAAAGGCTTGCTCAGCAGCAGGAGGTCATCATGGCCATGAGGGGGCAGCAGCACCAGCAGGCCTGGGTCATCGGTCCTCCAGGACAGACGGACACCTCAGTGCAAAAACATGTCCGAGTTGGAGGCGTCACTTGGTCGTCTGGACCGTCCTCTCCAGCCGACTCCCCTCGCTCCACGCACCGCTCTCCCACCAGTATCAAACGCAAATCTGCTTCCTTTCACTCACGTAACCCCCGCACCGCTCGTCCCACGGAGCTCAAGCTAGCCCCGTACAACCGCGTCCTAACCGCCCCTCAGTCTGTTGACAGTATTCCGAGGCTACGCCGATTTTCTCCCCACCAGCCTCTGGGAAGTTGTTTTGTTTACATGGGGAGTGAAATGGCGGCTGCTAATCCAGAGACAGTATCCAGAGAGGAAGGTAAAAACAAGGAGAGTGATTCCACCCTGTCCCCAGAGAGGGAAACCTCTGGGAAAAGTATATGTGAGGCCAGTTCACCCCCCAAACAAACAGATACAGATTCAAAGGCCAATAACAAGGAAAATGGGGGGCACAGACAATCCAGTGCCACTGATAAAGAAACAGAGGACCAGAATCCCAAAGTCCAGGAAACAGTGGTGAATGTCAAACCCGCCGTAGAGTCCTCTTTTCCTGAGGTTTTGGCCCAACCCATCGTTGAAACCTTCACACTGACACCCACACAGATTCCTGCTCAACTAGAAGAACTGTGTCAAACGAAGAGTACCCTGATTGAGGTTCCTCTGTCAGTCGTCAAGTCCATGGAAGACCTGACCTTAGACGAAGGTCTGGAGATGCAGCAGGACAATGAGGAAGGTCTGGATGACGAGCAGAAGATGTGTCATGGGTTCTTCTTCAAGGTGAGCTGCAGTTAACAACGTTAACATTTTGGTTGCGCTGTTTCACCCTGATAGTTAATAGACCAGGGTCAGAAACACCGTATAACATGTGAATTTTATTTTATTTAAGTTTGTTTCTCTCAGGAAACTGTCTAAGGTTCGGTTGAGGACAGTGTGGTCTTCCTATGTTTTTTTTAAAGGTTGTGAGATGATGTGTTTGCTGCAATCTGGGCGTCTCATGTAGGTCAGAGAAGTGGGGCTGTTATTAATAATTCAGACGGCGCTGTGGAAATGTGGGGCTGAGGTGGATGAAAGTATGAGGTGATCGTGGCAACGGATGCTCAGAGGTTTCTGTAAATATATGCAGCATGGCGCTCAGAGGTTTCTGTAAATATATGCAGCGTGGCGTCCTGTTCTCCTTCCTGTGTTTAGCTTTGAAAATGAATCAGGGTCATGAAGATACTGATGTTTTTATCATTAAATAAGTTGAATTAAACAATTCAAAGAGTCCATCCACAGCAAACCGCCGTTATCACAGAGTTCAGCCTCTCAGCCGACGGCTTTGTTTTCTCTGTGCCTCAGGAGGACGGGAAACCAGAGGAGAACATGGCCCAGAAGAGGGCAGTGCTGCTGGAGAAGAGGATGAGGAGGGAGAAGGAAAGCCAGCAGAGGAAGATGCAGCTGGAGGCAGAGCTGGAGCAGAAGAAAGAGGAGGCCAAGTATGTAGACACCTCCTGAGGAGGAAAGTCCACACACACACACGTTTCCTCTTTAAATATATATACTATGAAAACTCCCATTGTTGACATTTAGATTATTTCCTTCTGTACAGGAAGTACATTTCAATATAAGTTAAAAAGGAAACATTTTGTGCTCTTGAGGCGCAATGCTCAGTGGTTAAAAAGTAGGGGAAAAAAATCTGGATTTTAAGAAAAAGATGATGAATTCAGGTTGTCAACGTTGCACAAAAATAGGCAGAACAGCAGCAAGGTTGTCAACGTTGCACAAAAATAGGCTAACCCTAACAATCCGGCTGCAGCTGGAAGAAAGATAAAAGTTTAAAACTCGACTTTTGCAAAGACAAACTATGTAGTTAAGTCATGTAATAACATTTGTATCTCAGTCTTATTTTAACATTCATACATCGCTTTCTTATCCGACCCCGTTGTCTCTTCAGGCTAAAAGCAGAGGAGGAGCGTCTCCGGAAGGAGGAGGACAAAGCAAGGAAGGAGTTCATCAAGCAGGAGTATCTCAGGAGGAAGCAGCTAAAGCTGATGGAGGACATGGACAACGTCATCAAGCCGCGGTCAGCCGCTGGCGCAAAGCAGAGACGGAGTCGACCTAAGTCCATCCACCGCGACAGTATGGATTCTCCAAAAACGCCTGTTAGAGCTGCGACAGGTAACCATGTGACCACCATGTGACCACCACGTGACCACCATGTGTCTGTCACTCCAGTTGCTTTGTTTGTTTGTTTGTTTGTACCAGCCACGTTTCAATTATGTTTTACGATTATGCTTTGATTTTTTCAAATTTATCCAAATTAAACACTACATCAATCATGGAGCGCAGACTGTGTTCACTCCAGATCTGGGTTCATTTCATGGATGATTTCAGTCCATTGTGAACTGTGTGGTTGTGTTTTGTTGTCCTCATCCGTGGTGTCGGTGTAATCATGTCATGTTGTGCCACATCTCACTGTCTCACATCCAGGTTCACGACAACGTGTCTTTTCAGTCTCCAGCTTGTCCCTGGCTTCGCTCAACCTGGGAGACAGCGACAGCGTTCACTCGGAGAAGAGGTCACCGAGGTGAGTGAGGTTTATTAATAGTGATGGTGGATTAAGTTAAAGTTAGAAAAAAAACACCAATACTAGTTGTTACTTGGCTTGTCATCGATATATATTTTTATTCACATATAGAATGAGACCATGTCCTTTAATCCATGTATATATAGCAGTGTGCCTGTCTCTGGTCTTCTCTCTCCAGTCCTTAGCTCTAACCTTTTATATCCCTGTATTCTTTCCATCTTTTCTTTGTTTTAACCCGTCTGGTGTCAGGAGCGCTAGCTTAGCCTCTGGCAGTCTCTTCTACTATCTGAGCTCTCCTAAACTGAGATACAGGAGGTTAGTTGCTGCTCCACTCTTTAACCATTAGGTGCTTCACACTGTCCTGATCCCAGTCCTCCCCTGTTACCCTGCTGCCACGCTGGCTTTGGCAGGAACTGAACCAGCTTTCAGAGTAAAAGGCAACTTTTTTTTCCCTTTTGCCTTTTTGTCCCTCTTCTTTGCTTTAATTTCCCCCTCTTGTTTATTTTGCTACTAGAAAAAAAAATCTAACTAACAGCCATGTTGTGTTCTTTGCACTAATACACACTCCTGCTTTGTTTGCTCACACCTGCTTTGTTAAGTCAGCCAAATGAACCACATCAGACGGGATTTTTTTTATGATTGAATATCTCCTCATAATGGAATTCATGGCAGGAATTTATGCCACATAATATCACGTCTTTCCCTTGTAAGTATTCGTGAGTATCATGTCCTGAACGAACTCGCCTTTTTTAAGAAACAACAGAAACTGCACTCGAAGCACATTAGTCCTAATCCCCGTCAGTCAAGTTTACTCTGTTTTCACATGATTACAGCACACTGTGCTTCTCCTCAGCCATTAAAATACCAGTGGAGTGAATATTTGCACATTAGACACAGTTACAGCGACAACAGTAAACTGAGCAGACAGACAAGTCAACAAGGAGCAGGTAAACACGACCTCTCCTGATGACCTCACTGCACCACACTGCCTGTGCATGTAAGCTTCCCTGCTTCACTGCTGACCTCAGGATCCACTGGGATCCTGCCTGGACATCAACACACACACACACACACTCAGGGGGGAAAATATATGGGGAAATAACAAGATCATTTAAAGGAGATTCTTTAATAAAGATCTGTTTTCAAAATGCCTACTTGGCTTAAACTAAACAAATTGGGAATTATTTTCACTGCTCTGCCTGACCTGCAAAACTGCTGAGGTTTTCAAGAAGAGTTCTCTTATAGAAAGTTTAAATAAATCTGTGTGTGTGTGTGTGTGTGTGTGTGTGTGTTCTAGGCCAGACTCTGCAGATGGCTTCCTGTCCCCGAGTCGCTCCAGCAGCAGAAATGGAGAGAAGGACTGGGAGAATGGATCCACGACCTCCTCTGTCACGTCCAACACAGAGTACACCGGTGAGTCCACTGGTCCGTGTCCCGCATGTTTGACCACACGATGCTCAGTGGTAACATTTACTGTACCAGCTGAAATAATATGATGGATATTATGTCTGAATCAACTGAATATTTTTGAGCAGTATTTCTCAGTAGAGCTTGGAGTTATAAATACTGCATCCACAGTACATATTCCATTGTCAGACGGGGGGTGGGAGGGCAGCAGTACAGCAGTTCATACATGTTTAATCAAAAGAAAGAGCATAACACTGGGGCGGGATGTTTTTCTCCGTAATAAGCTGCGGTTGCCATAACAACGGCCTCTTCTTGTTCTTGTTCTTCTCTTCCTCGTCATCTCCACCAGGGCCGCGGTTGTACAAGGAGCCCAGTGCAAAGTCGAACAAGCACATCATCCAGAACGCTCTGTCCCACTGCTGCATGGCAGGAAAGGTCAACGAGGGGCCCAAGAACAAGATCCTGGAGGTGAGAGCGTGGGGATTTTTTTTTTTTTTTTCACTTTTGGTGTCATTAGCTGTTGAGGTCGCTGCTATAATAATAATAACAACGCACACATAAACAACACTGGAGGTGGCAGTCCATAAGTTTAAGGTGAACTCATTTATTTTAAATAATGACCACATTTGCCCTCAACAAACTTATTTGGAACTGACTTTTAGGCTGGTGGTCAACTGAATGTACTGCAGTCATGTTAAACGAAGCTAAAATTTAAAATTTGTTGCTGACTTTTAAGGCAAAGTTAAAAGTTAAAGTCCTGTTAAAACCTTACACAAGGTCATTTTGAAGGCAAAACTCAAAGGAAAAAGAGAGAAAAAAAAGTTAAAATACTTGATGTTGTGATTGATGGCGTCACATTATAAAAGGTCTGGACAACATCAGACCCTAACGTGTTAATCAGAGTGGCTTCACACATCCACTGTCTCAAAGCTTCATGGCGGCGTCTCTAATTCACAGGAAATGGAGAAATCCGAGGCCAACAACTTCTTGGTGTTGTTCCGTGACGCTGGCTGCCAGTTCCGCTCGCTCTACACCTACTGCCCCGAGACGGAGGAGATCATCAAGCTGACGGGCATCGGCCCAAAGAGCATCACACGCAAGATGATCGACGGCCTCTACAAGTACAACTCAGACAAGAAGCAGTTCAGCCAGATACCAGCCAAGACCATGTCTGCCAGCGTCGACGCGGTGACAATTCACAACCACCTCTGGCAAACGAAGAAGCCGCCTACGCCTAAAAAAGTAGTTCCACCTCTTGCTCAATAATATTCACATATAAAAACAGACGTCAACCTTTTCCTCTCGCGTAGAACATAGCCATTTCAAGTTGTATATGTTCATTCAGATCCAAACACGTGCAGCGTCAGTTACATGAACTCTTTTTTTTTTTTATGTGACTCGTATTATGTCTGTCATTGCATTCCTCTCCTTTCTCTGGAATGGAACATAGTATTTAAAAAAACAATAACTGGAATGTATGCCACTTTAAAAAAAACATGATGTAAATGCTTTTTGAGATTGTTGCATTTTAATTTAGTTTAAATGCATGTGTGAGTGTTACCTTTAATTCTCTCTGTGCCAAATGTTCAAAAAGGTCGAGAATGGAAGGTAAGAATGGAAGGACTTTTTTCTGGGGACACTGAACGCAGCACTGATTGTTTTTAAATCCATGTACAGAATGACTTTGCATTATGCTTTTGAATGTGTGGCCCTGACGTCGAGGGTTCGTGTCAGTGTGAATGCAGTGCAGTATATAAAGACGTGCGCGTGTGTTTTTTGTAAATGGAGGAAAGATTGTTTTTCTTCCTCTCTGTGGGTGAAGTTGTTTGTAAATCGAGGTACGTAAACGTGCAAAGGGTCAAAAATGACCTGCATACAGCTAGTGTTAGCCACATGCTACGTGTGCGTGTGTTCAGCATAACAAAGCCGATTGGTCTCAGCTTTTTTTTTTTTTAATGGAAACCATGTCTGCAGTACAGGATTTTACCAGTTGACTTTATTACTGCAGGTGTTAGCAGATCTACAGATGGTCGTCAAATGTACACAAATACTGTCATGTTTGTATTGGTAAGATTTTCCTTTTTTATGGTACGACTCAAAGATGGTTTCAATAACTGCAATTTTTGTGTGATATTGAAAAAAATAAACACCAAGTGAGGAATGTTTTGTTTACATCTGCATCAGCAGCAGCAGCAGCAGCTTTACATACTGTAATCTATTGTTTTGGACCTTTTTGCTGCTGGTTCACAGCAGGTATGTGAACAAATGAAACAGCTACAAGTATCAGCGTAGCTTTGAAATCACTTCATGTTATTTTGCATGTAAGAGTTTGCAGTATACGCTGGGTTGACAACACTCTCTCAGCCTTCGGTTTCAGGAACACGACTACAAACCACCGTGTGTGTGACGATTTTCCTTCAATGGCAAAACTAATTATTCAGTTCTGCTTCTACTCTGACCACAGTATCACACTGTAACAATGTCTGCACTGGTGTGTAGTTAATAAAGGAACTTTAGGCATAAGGAACCTTTGGCACTGAACAAACAGGAGCATCATTAACAGCCACAAACAAAAAGTTTAGTTTCCAAACGGACACAGAATTTCTGTTTAGCTGTGGATTTCACATAACAATGATGGAAACAAAGAGGGAAGGTCTTTTTGTAACAGTTCTATCAAAGAATGTCAAAAAAAAAAAATCACAAGTACTGTGCTTTTCAAACCGGTGGATATTTTTGACCTTGTGTCAAGTGCAAAAAAAAATCACAAGTACTGTGCTTCTCAAACTGGTGGATATTTTAGACCTTGCGTCAAGTGTTTTTTTTTTTTTGTTTTCTTCAATTATTTTTGTTATTGTCCACCTGCTTCTTTCAGGCCTGGAAAGAACAGTTATTTAAGCTGTAAAGATACTGTACAGTGTGTCAATGTTTCTTCATACTTGTTCACCATGATGACTTTGTTTCTGTTCATTCAACACATTGCTGAACATGTTTATTCTTTATTTCTGGGGGAGGGTGGTTGGGGACCCAGTTTGTTTTTGCAATGAATAAACATAAGCATGGCCTCAGCCGTTCTGTGGTGTTTACTGTCTTTAATTCAACCTAGAGTTATTTGTTTTAATTAGTTCATACAGATCACATATAGTATTATTATTTAAAGGGTTACATATGTAATAAAAGGTATTTAAGTTATATATAGTACTCTCAGGGTGAGATATAGTAGGGACTTAGGGGAAAATATCTTTGAATTGTCTGAATTCGTTTTTAAAATGAAGGCCTATTTCAATAACACCACCATCAGCACTTATATATTATAAAATAAACAGCAAAAATAAAGAGAAAATCAATAAGAAGGACACAAAAGAACAAGAAAATAGAAAAACAAGAGTTTCTTACTTGATCAGCAAGTCACAAGCTGACGTTGTGGTCCTGCAGTACTGGGTGTGGCCACAAGGTGTCATTGCCGCAGTTAATGTGTGTGTGTTTTTTGCGGCTGCGTCTGTCTGCATGGCAACCGCCAGGCGTAAACTCGGTTTTGGGCAGTAAACAGCTTGAATACTGAGTCAGTGTCAGGGATTTGAACCTCTCCAGGCAGCGCGTGTCTGTCTGCGTGGGGTTGTTTTTTTCCACTTCATCATCTCCAACGTCACCCTCGTCGTCGACTCTGTGCTGATTTTGCAGAGCCGGGAGCGGCGTGGATGCGGCGTGTTGTTGGCGCAGACTGACAGGTGAGCTCGACACTCGACACGGATTCACGGTGGCGTGTTTCAGCCCGGAGCCTTCCACGGTGTCCTGCTGCTGACAGTCACTGTCTCCTGTTCTCCGTGTGCGTCTGTGGCCTTAGTTTGAGAGAAGCTGACATTAACTCAAGATACAGACAATGAGCTAAGGCCGCAGACCTGCCGCCACATCCAGGAGTAGCATCGTGGGTGGGTGGGGATGGATGTGGGTGTGGGTGTGAGGGACAGGGCGGTGACACCGGGACTGATCTCAGCCTGTTATTGCCGGTACAAGAAGAAATAAATCAAGTACAGAGAAAGACCGTCTTCAGAAACTGCAAATATAATAAGGTCATAATTCATCTGGTAAAATTACATCGTTTTTTAACATACAGAGAGAGAGAATGATTTTTGTTTTTAAAACAATACGTTGTTTTTCAATCGTAACGTAAACTGTAACGAGCTCCTCCACTCACTCCTATTTTTAATTGACATTTGTGATGATACTTAAATAAACACAATTGTTTTACGTAAAAATATAAAAGTCCTAAATATATATACACATATAAATATTCCTACCTTTATTGACTTTTTGGTTCCACCTGGTACTAGTTTCTAGTCGTACCTAGTCCTAAGAACTACTTCCTGTGCTGCAAACGTTGCCTATTACAGACATTTGATAGCTATTTCGTCATTTCTTTTGTAAAATTAATAATAATTATGTATTATTTTTATACTATATTATATGTATTATATTTTACACTGGATGTAAACACCTGCACTGCAGTCCCAGTGGATCAACGTTGCTGCAGGATATAGACACCTGCTCCTTACTCTCTCTTTTAAAGATACACACATACAGTACCTCAATTTTCAATATGAATCTGAACTCCATTTTGGTCGTACGTTCCAGCCTGCTGCGAGCTGCCTCCACACATCTGTGAGAATGACGGCGGAGGAGACGATCAACGTCAAGGAGGTGGAGGTGATCAAACTGATCCTGGACTTCCTGAACTCCAGGAAGCTGCACATCAGCATGTTGGCCTTGGAGCGGGAGAGCGGCGTCATAAATGGACTGTACTCCGACGACATGCTTTTCCTCAGGTGTGATATCACGGCCTGTATCTGTAAAAACAAAACAAAAAACTGTTGTTACATTAGACTCGTTGGTCAGATTTATTCCTGGTTGACTTTTCTTCCTGCAGACAGCTGATCCTGGACGGTGAGTGGGACGAGGTGATGCAGTTCATTCAACCTCTAGAGGAAATGGACAAGTTTGACAAGAAAAGGTGGGAGACTTCGATTTTAGGGTCAGGTTCAGAACTAATTCAAATGAAGGTACATTGTGTATTTTTATGAAACATCCTGTATCTGGAAGACGCTTTTTTTGCTCTTAGGTTTTTAAATAAAAGCTTGTTTAATAATTAAGTTACACCACCTGGTGGGGGCTGCATTATTGTACCCACTAAACAGTACCGTGAACTTCCTGTAGTAGGAACCAACTATTGAGAAATTAATTTACATTTGTGCGGTGACCTCAGCAAAGATGTCTTCATTGGACCGTAGGTCAGACGGTTCTTTGATTAAGGGTCTGTGGTTCAATGCCAGTGAATTCTCTGATTGAGTTCCTTGTCCTTCACATGTCCCCAGTACTAATGGTACAACGTACCATAAACTCAGCCTTCGTGTGTGTGTGTTTGAACTCTAACACAATAAACTGTCTCCCCAGGTTCCGCTACATCATCCTGAAGCAGAAGTTTTTGGAAGCGCTGTGTGTGAATAACGCCATGTCCACGGCTGAAGACCCTCAGAATGTAAAGACCAAAAAAACTGACTTTGTGAAACTGACTGACATCCTGTGTCTGCAGCTCCCTCATATGATAGAACTTCCTGTAGTAGGAACCAACTATTGAGAAATTAATTTACATTTGTGCGGTGACCTCAGCAAAGATGTCTTCATTGGACCGTAGGTCAGACGGTTCTTTGATTAAGGGTCTGTGGTTCAATGCCAGTGAATTCTCTGATTGAGTTCCTTGTCCTTCACATGTCCCCAGTACTAATGGTACAACGTACCATAAACTCAGCCTTCGTGTGTGTGTGTTTGAACTCTAACACAATAAACTGTCTCCCCAGGTTCCGCTACATCATCCTGAAGCAGAAGTTTTTGGAAGCGCTGTGTGTGAATAACGCCATGTCCACGGCTGAAGACCCTCAGAATGTAAAGACCAAAAAAACTGACTTTGTGAAACTGACTGACATCCTGTGTCTGCAGCTCCCTCACATGATATCAGTTATTATCATCTAAACACTGTTTTCATCATAAGCACCAGCTGATATTTATACTTGTCTCTTGGGACCTCAGATACTCAGCGTGACACCGACACATTCTCCGTCTTGTCTGCAGCTGGAGCTCACCATGCAGGAGGCGGTCAAGTGTCTCAACAGTCTGGAGGAGCTCTGTCCGTCCAAAGACGACTACAGCAAGCTGTGTCTTCTCCTGACCCTGCCCCGTCTCACGCACCACGCAGAGTTCAAAGACTGGAACCCCAGCACTGCGCGTGTCCATTGCTTCGATGAAGCCTGCACCATGGTCGCTGAGTTCATCCCTGCAGACAGGAAGCTGAGTGAGGCGGGGTTTAGGGCGAGCGAAAACCGCCTCTTCCAGCTGCTGATTAAAGGGATACTTTACGAATGTTGCGTGGAGTTCTGTCAGGTAACACGACCTGGACGTATTTATTTATTTTTATATATATAATCTGAGGATGCACTTCCATTCTGTCCTGGCTTCGTTTTTTTTAGAGCAAAGCCACTGGTGAGGAAATCACAGAGGGCGAGGTGCTGCTGGGCGTGGACCTGCTGTGTGGGAACGGCTACGATGAACTGGACCTGTCGCTGCTCTCCTGGCTGCAGAACCTCACTGCAGGTGCCTTCTCGTGCGCCTTCCAGCAGCAGACCCTGAACATTCAGGTGGACCGGCTGGTGAAGCCCAGCAAAGCGGGTCATGCTGACCTCCTGACCCCGTTAATCAACCGTCTGTCTCCTCGTCCTGCTTCACCCTATAACCACAGGCCACACTCAGCCGATACGTACATGTCCAGGTCCCTCAATCCAGCGCTGGACGGTCTGTCCCACGGTCTGGCAGCGCAGGAAAAAAGAGGCCTGGAGGCGAACATAACGGCTGCTCTCTCTCGAAGTCTGGTGGAGAATCACCATCAGCAGGATGATTCACCTGAGAGGTGACGCAAATTCAATTTTCTTTTATTTTGAAAGCCAAAGGCTCAGCTTCCGGTTTTCTTCCTTGGCCTTTCCTCTTTCATAAAAGTTCTTTAAGGACTTGACAATCATCTGAACACGTTTACAAAGGCATTTATAAATGCGAGGAAAAAAATTGAATGATTTGTTATTTATATAAGTTGTAGTGAGATGATGTAATTATATTCAATGTTGATAAAATAAATTATAAACTATATATATTATATATATAAAGATAAAGATTTAAATTATTGTTTCATTCTGAAATGTTGTTGATGTGTGAATTGACACAGGAAGCAGCCACAGAGGGCGGACGCTCCCAGCTCCACTCGTACACCTCTGACTCCGGGCAAGGATGGCGGGCCGCCCTGCAGCACAGGAACAAATGAGGCAAGAAAACAGTTTTACATTCATGGTGGACGTAGAACTTTTTTTTTCATTCATTCAGTACTGCGTGTGTGTGTGTCCTCCAGACCTCATAAATCCTTCCCCAGTTCATGTCCTACTTTTGAAAGGGACTCCTGTGCCTCCGTTGACCCTATCACAGCCAAGGGGAGGGAAGTCACGGACACAGAAGGCAAATAATCAGATTTGATTTGAGGTCACAGACACACGAGATGATCTGCTGCTTCCATCATCCCTCATCTTTATGCATCCCAGGGCCCTGATGGAGCAGGAAAAGTAGCTTGAAATTGGATTGTTAGGTCTGGTGTGTTGGAGAATGCAGTGGAGAAGCCCAGGTTATGACGATCAGGTCCTTGACAACTTTTTTTATGGGGTAGATGGAGGACAAGTCCCTGGGAGCTGAACAACTAGCAGCACAGGCAGAAGGGTTTGTGTATATTATAATATACTCTGGGTGTGTGTGTGTGTGTGTGTGTCATTGAGTACTTTAGCAGCAGAGAGCACTGAGAAGGAATAATAAATATTCAGTCATTCAAACTTCTAACATCTTTTGTTAGGATCAAATAACGTGTATCTGTTTGTTTTCACAGCGCCGTGACTCCACCGACCAAATCCAGGAGTTTTACCGGCAGCGGCTCCGCGTGCAGCAACATCTGGAACAGAAGCAGCAGCAGAAGCAGCTTTACCAGCAGATGCTGCTTGAAGGTGGAGTGAAGCCACAAGACGCAGACCAACACAACCTGACGGAGACCTTCCTCAGCAGGTGAGGGGGGGGGGGGGGGGGGGGGACAAAAAAAGGAAGACCTCGGGCCC